CTAAAGTTCTTTTTTTTTTTGTTCATTACTTTATCTTTAAACAACAAAATTTTTTCAGAATTTATTCTCCAAGTCTACTAAAGTAAAAAAAAATAAGTCACCACCCTAAAATAAGTTCTAAATACGCCCCTTAACTTGTATAAGGTACAAATGTATTATTTTATGTTTATTTTACAATATTAATGTATAATTTAAATTCTGCTCAATGTGTATTCTATTGTATCATATAGTTGGACTTTAAAAGCTTGGGTTTAGTATGATAAAATATATATGATAAGTGAATAGTAATATATAATGAATAGTGTAATAATAAAAGATACAACTAAATTATAGGTTAGACTCACATATACTCTAAATTTGTACGAAATAAAAATATGAAAAATGATATAACGTAATCAAATTTTACTCTATTTGGTTATACAGAGTGCTTCTTTTGTTTGATTTTTTAATAATACACATATATAAAAAAAAAAACATTAAAATTGAACATCCTAAAAGATGTATTTTTTATGAACTTTAAAATAAAGGAATGTAATTTATTTATTTTTCCAAACATCTAATTTAGGTAAATAACAAACAAAATATTCACCAACAGATGATAAATATTTATTTGTTTAAAATTTGTCATAATCATAAGACTAATGCGCTATGTGTTCAACAAAATTTAATAAAAGTCGAAATTCTTGTACTACAATGTTATTATTTATTACTAAAACAATCGATATCTAACACCCCCTCAAGCCGAAATTCCATGGATAAAAAAAATCACCATAGGATCTCTTGTTTGTCGTATATTGAACCTAGAACAATACCAAAGATCAAAAACCCTTTATAATTAAACAAATTAATAAGTGCAATCGTAATATTCATTAAGCTGATTATCGTATACCACCCGTTGTTGTTCTTAGTAGTATATTTTCTCTATTTGTTAAAATATTCAGTTAAATCATGATTAAACATCCTAAAGAATAATTTCTAAGCAACAATAATAACACGTGGCTAGATATAGCAAATAATATTTTTGAAGTAGTTGTAATGTACTATTCTACGACGTGGCTTTTTTTAAAGAAATTTATCCTGAGGTTTTTAAAAATACATAGTGATTCAAATTAGACTCTAATAAAATTGATATATAATATTATATTAATTATATTATATAAATATAGTAATCTAGTTTCATAACTTATAGCACTAGTACTATAAGTTAATGAACACATTATGGCTATAATGTGTTATTTTATGCAATATAATTACCACTTAAAAATATTGTTTTTAATGATTTAATATGCAAAAATAGGGAAATATATACAAAAAAAACCCAGCACAGGGGGGTCGCGGCATAGTTGGATCAAGTATAATGATATCTGATAGTGATTAAAATCACTATCAAAAAAAAACGCTTCGATGGAAATCTTTAGATAGTGTTTAATTTAAAAAAATTGATGTATTATTCCAAAAGCTACATGATCTGCTAGTTCCTTATTAATATCCTGATTAAGATAAAGTATGTCGAATGAAAAAGGGATTATTAAAAAATATTATTTCTCATAAAAAAATAATGTTGATCCACTTTTCAATATGTCATAGCATTATAAAGTTAAAAATGTAAAATAAAAAATCGAAAATTTTCACACAAAAATAGCATTCGGTAGCCATTTTCACCGTGAAGATAAAATAAAGTCCAAAATTTTTTTTTACCATAATAAAGTATATTACATTAACTTTAATTTAAGGTATATATAAAAGTGTCAGACTTTCCGGAACACTTTCATAATTTAAGTTGAAAAAGTCAATTTTTTGTGAAAAAATTATCATTTTGAATCCCCCCTGTAGGCAGGTAAAAATTCAGATTTATAAAAAAAATATACCAAATGATAGGTAAAGACATCATGCATCTATAAAAAAAGAATTATATTGATTTGGTTATTTCAAAAAAAGTTATGGCAATTTTAAGTAAAAAAAATTGAAAAAATTTCGAAAATTAGCGTTTTTTAAATTTGTAATTTTTTTGGAGGTTTCCCCCATTTACGGAGAACGAAGGATTTTTTTTTTTATTTTTGAGGTTAATGTCTTCGACTAGATACGATTTGTGATCTTTTGACGTATCATTGAAAGAAATCGGTTCAGTGAGAGCTGAGAAAAAGTGGTAAAAGACACAAAAAAAAAATAAATAAATAAATAAAGCTAAAATGTGAAAAAAGGTCAACCTTTATTTTATGAACATTTTTTAAATTTTAGTTTAATACTTAAACTAGAATTATAATTTGATCATTAAAATTTAATATATAATTTTAAAAAAGTTCTATTAAGTATTAAAGGAAACAGCTAAGTCTCAATTGTAGTATAGTTTGCCTTTGATGTACAATATTAGTTTCGATGCGATGCTGAGTGGGAAGGTGTTGGTTTTACTATGATGTGTTTTTTTTCTTTTTGTCTGTTACCCCTTTTTTTCAACTATCACCAAACCCATTTCTTTCAACGATACGTCAAAAGATTACAAATTGTATCTAGTAGAAGACATTACCCTCAAAAATTGAAAAAAATTCCCTCGTTCCCCGTAAATAGGGGAAACCTCCAAAAAAATTACAAATTTAAAAATCGCTGTCCACAGGGGGAATTAAAATGGCATCTTTTTCACTAAAAATTTACTTTTTCAACTTAACTTTTGAAAATGTTCCGGAAAGTCTGACACTTTTATATATATCTTAAATTAAAGCTAATGTAATGTACTTTATTGTGAAAAAAATTAATTTGGACTTTATTTTGTCTTCACAGTGAAAATGACAACCAAATGCTAATTTTGTGTGAAAATTCGCGTTTTAATTTTTTACATTTTTAACTTTATAATGCTATAACTTTTTGAAAAGTGTATGGATCAACACAATTTTTTTATGAGAAATAATATTTATATCCCTTTTTTATTCGACATAGCTATTAGAATAATCCACCAATTATTTAAAATCGAACTCTATTTAAAAATTTGCATGGAAGCGTTTTTTATAATATTATATAGCTAACAAATAAAAGAAATATCACAGACGTACAGTTAGTTCATCAAGCAATTAGATAAACCCTCCTTTAAACTTTATATTAGGATATGCCTGGACTATGTGATTAATGGACTGTATTTTGCCACATTCGCATAGTCGACTATTATTTAGGTTTGGTTCTATTACTGTTCTGTCTTGATATTGGGCTTTCTAAAATAACTCTTTATGCCTCTGAGAGATACTTGGAATTTTCTAATTAAAAGAATATTGCCAATTATTAGCATCGTTATTATGCTTTTCATTAAATGCAAAAATTAAATAACTTAAGACACTAAAGAAACAATACCAAAACTAGCTAAAATAATAGTTTTAACTAATAGTAGGCTGAAAAGAGGACTATAAAAACTGCATTGAACATTTCCTGTCTTTGAAACTCATTTTCTATATTTGTAGAGCTATATTTGGACTGTTAAGTCCTCTAGACAGTTATTAAATTATAAGGCTCCTCTACAGTGGCTTATTTAGAAATTTGCTATGAAAAGAATCCATGTAATTTTCAGAACATGATGTAGTGAGGCGCTTCGTATCTCTTAACTCCTTCACAGTGTCACCTCCCCAAATACGTCACTGTTAGTCTTACGTATTCTATTAAATAAACAAAAACGGGAAATAGAAATTGCTAGCTAACATATCAAGACAACCCTAGGAAAATGTCCTGTCTTCAACTCTGATAGTAGTATAATTGTTATCCACAAAAAATTGAACACTTTAGTCCTTTTTTCTCTAAAATCAAAAATAGTAATAAAATCAGTAATATTATTATAGTGGTTAAAAAGTAACCATGTTTACCCAGAATTATTCTGATTTAAGCACATAATAAAGCTTTGAAATTTAAAGGTGGAGCACCTAGAATTTTATTTGATATAAATAGTTTTTACCGCCGTTTTAAAATAGTTCTTACTAATTTCATTACGTTTAATCTTGCTATAATAAATTGTTTTTTTAATTTATAAATTTGGCTAGTTAGTAAACTTTAATGTTGGTAATAGCATAAGTTCTGTGCATACATACACAGTAATTCAACAAGTATGTTAACCGGTAATATATCTGGATTTTATATATCTTTATTGCATTTTACATATATGTATAGAATATATACTTTTTATGTGTACGGAGGCATGTTTTAGCGCAGTGGACTTGCTAGTAGCTGTTAAGCTATAATATTAAGCCGCGTTTATTCACTTAACAGTAAACCTTTGTGTATGTTGATAACTAGTTGATAACTGAATAGTGAATAGGTCATTATATATATATATATTTAATGACTTTTTAAAATGCTTTCAATGATCATTGTTTTATTATTATACCCCTCGCATAATCTTTTAATTAGCGTTATATCGAAGCAAAAATAAGGCGTGTAAAAATTATTTTTGCCCATTGAATGGTTTTTTTTTAATTGTGTGCGTTATTTTTTTTTTTTTAATTTTGTAATAACTATATATCTAAAAAAATACATACTAAAACATTAGTTTAAAATAAATCTAAAGTTAATTTTTTTTTTTTTTTGCTGAATTTTTCGTTTCATTAGAACTGTACCTACTCTTTTAGAGGAGGCCACTATGGTCCATAATGAACTTAAAATAACGATTAAAAAAAACACTAAAAGTGTTTTATTACGATAACTTGTGATTATCCTTCAGTACTGCTATCAGTTTCTTTCAGCACTTTCTAGAAGTATATTGTGGCCATTCCACAGATTTTATGAATAAAGAGAAGATTTTTTTTTTTAGTTAGTACTTATTTAAGTTTCTTCAAGATTAAATTTTAAATTTATTTGATCGTATTTCAATATTCGATTTTTTTTTCTAGATTAGACAATCATATATGGTGTAAATACACAATAAAATATATATAAGAAAAACAAAAATTGACAACATTAAAAATAAATTATAATTAGTGCTATACATTTGCATGAAAGTAACTCAATAAAAACTAATTTTTTGTGTAAAGGTTATGGAAACTGACGTGAGTCAAGACTTTGAAGATTACTGGAATGAATACAAGATCATCCAAGAGACCAGACAACTAGACAGCTACTTAGACGAAGAATGTCCACCAGAGCAAGAAATCACTGGTTCTCATTTACAGGATGGAGCTATTGAAGCTGAGTGGTTATCATCCGTTGGCTTATCATTTTTAACCGAGGCATTTGAAAATGGCTGTGAGGTACCAGACTCTGAATTAGAACCAGCCATCACACATTTGTCAAGCCGACAGGCTGACGCCGTAAGACTGAGAGTTCGCTCACTGAATCATACTGTACGACAGCGGGGAAGGCAATTAAAAGCAAGACATAAAAAACCTGATATAAGGGATGTATTTCGTGATATTGAAGTAAGTTTAAGCGTTGTATGACCTCTTAACACTAGATTTTAAATTTTCAAAATTAACACTGAACTTGTATATTTTTATTAGATATTCTATCTTTAAATACGCCTATTCATAATTTAAATTACATACTTAGATATTATAATTTTAAGTACTGTGTTAATCTTCTTTTATTGAATTTTAATTATTTTTTTAAGAGTTTGAGTTCTAGTTCAAGATCCAGAAGTGCTACCCCGGATTCCGAATCTAACAGTCCACCTATGTCATGGTCTCAAACAGAAATAACAACACCAATACCAAAGTAAGTCATTTTATTAATATATTAATATACTAACAGAGCTTGAAACCGTTTGCATAACGTTAATAACTACTAAGAAACGATTGGAATCGTAAAACGTATAACGATTAGCAAATAATTACAACAAACAAAACAATCGGAACTAAAAACGAAATAAAACAAAATTAAATAGAAAACATATTAATGATTCGTTGTAACTTATCAGGTACAGTAAATTTGAGAAAATTTAATTAAGAGGAAGTAATTGTTTCTCAACATAAATACTGTGCAAGAGAAATTCTCACTTGTGAGCAATGACAGATTAATTCTTAATTATTAGGGTAGATATTATATGCATTTATAAATTTTATTTCCGCTACTTTGAAGGGTCCTAAGTTTGTGCAACTATGTCATATGATGTCATGTGGTAGTATAGAAATATTTTTCATTTTAAGGAGGATAAACTTCCTAAGAAACATTAAATTTATAACCTCGGTAACAACTCATCACTAAGTTTTCGAGTCAATTGATAAAAAATTTTGAAGTGTTCAAAAGGATTAACAAAATGTATATAAATGCTTGTAATTCCTAATCCTACTTTAAAAAGAATTATCAATATAAATAAATTAAAATACTTAAAAACAGAATAAATTCATAACGTTTTAATTATAATTAAAATGTTATGATTTATACGTTTTAAATAATTATTTAAAACGTATAACGCAATAATATTACTAACTTTTTAACTATTATAATGTAAAAACAAAATAAATAATTTTGATTCAAGACCTGTATATTAATAACTTGTTTTGTCTTCATGTTGGTCTTCAAACTTATTAAGGGGTCTTTGTAGCGGCTTTTATTGTTATCGTTTAAAAAAAACACATACTCCAATAAAAAAAACTTTTACGTAGATTTATCTAAATATTGACAGTAAGAGTATATAAGTTTTATTGAGAGATGATTTATGTAAAAAAATATCTTTATCTATAATCTTTAATTAAAAAAAAGTTACCAATCATCAAATTATTTTCATTCAAAAAGGAATTGTAGTTTTATTTTATAATATTTTTGATCATAAAATTAAAATGAAGTCTGATTTAATTTTTACTGTTAGTATTTATTTATTTTTAATATGTCAATGTAATAATTCATCTCAAAAAATAATTTTCTAAAATTAAACCTTTTATATTGACCTTTATTCATTACTATATAACCTAAAAGTTTATTTTTCTATAAGGTAAAATCTAATCTCTGGAGAAGTTACTTTCGATATCGTATTATGATTTTATTTTTTATAGATTATAAATTATAATCTATGATGATATTCATAAAAGTAGGTTTCATAGAGTTTTTAGATAAAATGTTTTGTAAAACATTTTAAAGGGGTTTTGAGTTGAGAATTCAATTGAATTTCGTCATTAAATATTTATTTTATATAATTTTTTTTTAACTCACCTTTTGTGAGTCATATCAAAGCTTCTAAATTATTGTAAATAATATTTTTGTTGAAAATTTGATAACAAAGAATTGGCATTGTTTATGACAAAAAATTAATAACTTATTTTTGTTACGGAGCATCGATATAATATATAATATTAAGATTATTTAACAATAAAAATTTCCTTAAGAGCACATTTTCTTTTTATCGTTACTAATTAACAGCTTATAGTTATATTTTTAACTATTCAATAAAAGTAATTCTCAAAATTTAGTATTTCTTTAATAAAAGCCACTATAATAATTGTAAATTATACTATTGAAGAATTAAATAAATTCTATAAATTTATTTTTAATTAAAGGTTCATAGATCCTAACATTGACTTGAAATATTTTTCCAAAAAAGATGTTCATCGAATGCCCAGTGCCCCAGTTCTCCCAACTCGAGATATATTTCGTCGAAGTAATCGTTACAACAATGGAGTTGTTGCTTCTGAAGATGGTAAATAGTTTTAAAATAGTGATAATTAAAGTAAATAAATAAATTAATAATTTTTCGATAACAGGTCAAAATTTACAAAGATATAATACCTAATTTTAAATATCTACCAATAAATAACATTTCCAAAACTCTAAAAATACCGCAAATCAAAAAGAGCAATTGTCAAATGCGTCAAAATGAGACATAGTCTTTAAAAAAAAAAAAATCAATATTGCTTCTTAAAATTATAGACATTTTAATTAGAACGATTCACTTTTATATGTTTGATAGACTCATGAATTTTTTTTGAGTACGTCATCCACATTAAAAATTTTGAATGAATTGTACCCAAAAAATGTTTGTTAGTCTAGAATAATTACCAATAAAAAGAAAGGTAGTCTTTTTTTTTACGGCTTGTTGTTCTGTTAAGAGTACTATCAAAAGATCAACGTATGGAAAATTTTTTCCTTGATTCAATCTTGTTTTAAGTAGAATATTTCTTCATAAAAACTTCTTGCCAAATTTTTAATGGTAATTAATATTATTTTTTATCAATATAATTATAGATGGTATAACAATGGTTGGTTTTCAACGCCTTGGTACTGTTCGGGGTTTTAAATTTGAACAGAGACCGATACCTGTAATTAGAGATCGAAATCGTAGTGGAAGTGATCCTCTACATCTTTATTCTAGCTCTCCTGATGAACAGAGTAATTCAACCAAGTATGCACTACTTACACTTACACTCTTATAATTTTAATATAAAACTTATAATTTATTAATACATTTTTATTTGTTTTCTTAATAAAGTATGAATTTAGCTATACCCCAATCATCTGTAACTCGCAGCCACGGTAGTTTATATGACTCGAGCGATACCAACCGTGACAATTCAAAAAATGTAGGATTTGAACAAATGTGGCAAAATAGCAACTATCATCTGGAGGTAGTTTTGGTCAAGCTTAATTGTTTTACAAAATTTACTTTTTTTTTTTTTTTTTCAGAAATCTTATATATCTATTGATGAAAACACTGGAAGAACATGGCCCGATTCACTAAGCGACGATGATTTAGCTAAATTACGACCATTATTGTTTCTCGAATTGTCAACTATGTTTGACATCGCAGGTATACCATTTCATAAAGGAAAACCTCATAAGCGCAAAAGGAGAGAAGGTAATATAAATGAATTATGATTTACTTAATTTTACGTATCACATTTAATCTTTTTACATAGAAGGAACAATTTTTGGTGTTTCTTTATCAAATCTTGTTGACCGTGATTTAACGATCACCAACCGTCGGATTCAAGTACCTTTAATTCTACAAAAAGTTTTTGGACAATTAGAAAAACGTGGATTGGGTGAGCAAGGTCTATTAAGAATGGCTGCTCCAAAAGCTAAGGTCGAAAAATTATGTTCAGCTATAGAAAAATACTTTTATACCAAGCCAGAAGAAGTAGATCAACTATTTGAAAAGTGTTCTGTGCATGATTTGGTAGCATTATTGAAGCGTTTATTAAGAGATTTACCTGAATTATTACTAACCCACGAATTGGTTAATTTATTTTACCAGAGTAACTGTAAGTATTATTGTTATTGTTACTGCTAGTATACAATAACAAACATTAATAAATTTTTCTATAACACTTATAAAAAAGATTATTTAAACATTTTAACATGTGTTATTTATAGCCATACCTGATACAGTGAGAGCATTAAACTTATTAGTTCTATTGTTACCAACTGAGAATAGGTCCTCACTACGGGCCCTTTTGCAATTTATGTCTAAGTTAGTTGATTACCAACAAAGGCACAATTTAGAGAATAAAATGACAGAACACAATGTTGCAATGATTATTGCTCCATCATTATTTCCTCCTAGGTAAATTATTTCCCATAATTAATATCTCTGTAAAAAAAATCAAATTTTATGTTTTATTAATTCATTTATAGATCTGTACATTTAGAAAAAAAAGACTTGCATTCACATTTAGATCAGGCTGCTAGAAGTTGCCGTCTAACCGAAACTTTGATGAACCATATTGAAGAGTTATGCATAGTTCCTATAGATCTCATGAACCAATTAAGGCACAATAATGAAATCTACCAACACCGCCTTAAAGAAAATAATAACCCTGTAAGATTTTTATTTTAGAAGGAATTATTAAATCTTTAAAAAGAATTTTGAATATTAAGTTTTATATATATATATATAAAAAGAAAGTGGCCTAGTCGAAAAATTAAAACTAAAATTGAGAGACTAGAACCCAATTAACTAACCAAAAATCAGTTAATTATTAATTTTGAATCTTTTTTATTTTTTACTTATATATTATATCTATATTATTAGATATTAATTTTAAATAAAGTGAAATGAACTTTCTTACTTGAAATGTTTACGGATGTATCTACGTTTTTAGTTATGAACTGACGTTTCAGACTCGTTGTAGAGTCATAACGTCAGCTCATAACTGTAAACATGGATACATCCATAATCATTTCAGGAAATATGACTATCCACTTAAGCTTCCATACATTAATATAAATTTTCTTGTTCAAGTAATCTGTCTTTAACACTCTAATCTTATACAATAGGTATTTTTATTTCTTTAAAATCTTTTTGATATCTATTTTATACATGTTATAGAAAGTAGCTTAACATTATAATTAACATACAACTAATATATCCAACAGAGTTTTAACTTCTGTCCATATACAGAGTATGAATCTTTAAACTGTATTAACTAAAAAAACTATATTAAATTATAAATTTGTTACCTTTAATTTTTATCATTAATAATTTAAATACATATAGGTTAGGAGATTGTTAGGTAAAAAAAAAACTGATATTGTCAACAAAAAGATAAACAATGATTATCAAGAAGGTGTTATTAGAGTTGATGCGCCTCAGTTTAGAATTTCTGCAATACCATTATTTTTAACAAACTCTACTACAGTTGGTGATGTAATACTCAAGTATGTAACCTGTATAATTTTATTCTTAAAATTATTATTATTAATATAAAAAAAATGTTACTTAAGAATTGTTGAAGAAGCTGCAAAACAGACTGTAACCAAAAATGGTAATTCAATTAAACTAGGCCGAAAAGATTTAAAATCAAGAGCTTTGACTGAGTTGGCTCCTAATGGAAATCTGTCATGTCTCTTAACAACTGCTGATCCGGATATGGCTATAAAAACACATTTCTTATATGAGACTGGAGGAAATATAGGTTAGAGACAATAATATATTACTTTTCTATTTTTATCTTTCAATACTAATTTGAACAAATTGTAATTTTTTATTAAATAAAAGAAAGGTAAAGTTTATTATTGATGTGGTTATTTTTTAATTTAAAATTTTGCAACCAAATTAATTTGAAATAAAAATTAAATAATTTTAAAAAAACCTTAATATAAAGAATGTAAAATTGTTTTTAGGACACCGAAGAATAGAACCTACAGCAAATATGATGGCTGTATATCAAATGAATCCTAATGCGCAATGGTTTATAAAATGTGATCACAGAAATGGTATTGCTCATGTATAACTCTTGTTGTGTTAGAACAGATATTTATTTTTACAATTTTTATAATGATACTTAAATGTCTCTAATATAGCAAGTACAAAACCAAAAATTATTCTTTTATAAAAGTTTATTTTTCGTTGATATATATTTATATGTGTGTATGTCTATGTGTGTTATAGTTTATTATGTATAGGTAAAAAATAATAATGTTTTTACTTAATTTCAACTCTTGTATTTATAATTATGATTCACTAAAATGTGACTAATGTGTTATTTTTTGTTACTTTTATGTAAACATCGATCAAAACTAAATAAATTAAAATAGACAAGTCAAAGAAAAAAAATTATTATTATTTTTTTTCTAAATATTTTACATATACTTTTTATTTTAATGTTATTCATTTATTATTTACTAAATAATAATGATATATCTTATAAATTTATTTATGTGTTGATGTATTGTTATGTATTTGAGTGTTGGGCGGTTGACTAGGAAGTAGAGCAGAGAATGAGTGTAGTAGAGATGAGAATGCTTAGATGGATGAGTCTAGTGATTAGAGAATATAGGATAAGGAACGAACATATTAAAGGAAGTATAGATGTAGCGTCAATCGTTGATAAGAGTTGAGAAAAAAAACTTGGATGGTTTGGTCATGTTATGAGGAAAGAGGAAAAGCATGCTGTAAGAAGTTATAGAAATGAATGTTGAAGGAAGAAGAGTTAGAGGAAGACCAAAAATGAAATAGAGCGATGTTTTGAATATATGAGGACGGCTGATGTGAGAGTAGATTTTTATTGCATATAGCATGGTATTGATGTACAAAAACAAAAAGTAAAACGGAATACAATAAAATAAAAAGTGATAACGGATTAATATAAATAAATACATAAAATCAATAAATAAAATAAAATAAACAAATAAAATAATAAATAGATAAAAAAGCTACAATGTAACAACTATAAAATGTTATAAGTGTATGGCGAGGTTACGTAGCCAATCTAGCGCTTCCTTATCGCCTTTATTTAGACCTGATATTCCTCCCTTGAACTTTGTTTCCGGGCATTCCTCAACAATGTGCCTAATAGTTTAGATCTGGCCACAATTATAGAGCGGAGAATCCACCATTCCCCATTTGTGTATCAAATAATTGCACCTTCCCTATCCAGTTCTTACGCGGTTTAGGGCAGTCCATGTTGCGTGGGGGAATTCTAAGCCTGGGACTATTTGGGATGGATCACTTATGAGGTGGTTATTCGGTACTACTCCATCCTTCCAATGCGAATTCCATAAGTCTCCTTCTGTATTTGTACTATTTTTTAACGTCCATATAGGATTTCTGGATTTCAATCTTTTGTTTGGTGCGTTATACAAGTCATCATAAATTGGAAGGTTTAGAGAGTTTTGTATTTTCTCAATCATCTTTAGCATACGCACTTCTGGTGGGGCTAAATGTGAGAGTACTAGTAGCCATTCTAACTTAGTTGATTTGATACATCCTGATATAATTCTCATTATACGATTTAGTTGTGCGTCGACATTTTTAGTGTGAGTACTCCTAGCCCACACTGGGGCGCAGTATTCTACAACGCTGTAAACAAATGCCAAGGATGAAATTCGTAGGACGTGAGCCCTACATCCCCAGATTGTTCTGGGCAGTTTGCTGATGATATTATTTCGTGTTTTCAACTTGTCTTCTAGGTGTTGTTTAAAAGTTAATGATCTGTCAAGCTTGTAAGCGTAGATGATGTGGAAGATCATGTTTTAAGAACACTTATTACTCTATTCTTACAACTTATATTATATGCGTTTTATTTCCATTTATTTAATTCGTACTAATTAGCATAGAGGGAGATGCTGATGGGACAATTCTACTCGTCTGTAGGCTGGAGCTACTGACGTCGAACTAACAAAGGTAGTTGTGTATGAGTGGCAATTATAGACATAGTTTTTAATGGTACTACTTTCGTCTTATTTATATTATTAATAACTTAACTTGTATCATTCAACAACTCGTCTATCACCAATCATAGGCAACCAACTCCGTCTCACTTGGATATACTTACTAACCAACTGTACTAGTATTCAGGTCAGACGTATTGTACATATAACTTATATTTACTGAACATCTAAAATATAACTTTACTTTGTCGTTGACATAAAACAATAGTCTAAATTTATCATATAATCCATCTCTTGTAACTAAGGTACGCGATGCCTGTGTCTTCTTCAGATAATTAAAATTCACTTAAGGAGATAGGGACAATATTTGGGTAGATGTCAGTTAGCTTTCGATTCTTGGTTTTGGCCAAGATCCTCAAGTATTAAACAAGTCCCTAACAATGTCAAGAGGAAGTTAAGGATAAAGGTGGCCGACCCCAAATAATTAGCATTAAGACGAGGAAAAAGAAAAAGAAGATATAGGAATTTGTAATATATACATATATTTCCTTATTACTACAGTAAATAGCTCCTCAAGTATAAAATTTAATTTGTATATCACAGAGTTCAAGTATAAATTTTTTTATTGCGTTTCTCACTTTATTTAATGATTTTTATAAATATATATATTTTTAACATTTTTGATGTACATCTCTAAATTTCATAAAACAATTAAAATGCACAAATTCTAATGGTTGATATCCTCGCAGTGAGTCTGATTTCAATTTACATTGTATTTTATAGTAAAGAAAATTTGAAAATAATTCTTATATCTTCTAAATTATATTTAAGAAATGAAAAGGTTATAACCAAGTTGGTATGCATTATTTATACAGAACTTCATATAGATCTAAAGTTTCACTCCGATGTCAAGATCAATTTTATCAGTTTTAAAAAATTATTTGCATCTCAATTTTTAATTAAAATTTTTAAAGTTATTTTTATAAAGGTATTTTTTTAAAACACTATTATAAAATATCCATAAAATCAATGGTGGATTTTCAACATTTTTTGGGGAAGGTCCTAAAGAATAAAATTTACTTATTACTTATATACTTATTAGATTCACCCAACAAATTAAACCCTAAAAATATCGATATCTGAGGTCAAACATCCCTATAAGTCGGCACTGCATAAAATTAATGTTTGGGTATTAATTGATCCAGATCTCATTTACATGATTTAGAACTAAATGTATCTGGTACGTTTTTCAATTATTTTTAGAATGATTAAAAAAGTATTCGTGAAATGTTGCTTCTAAGTACTTTATATGGCATTAGAAATTTATTGTAAAATATTTAGTTTTGATAAATAACCTTCAAACTTTAAAAGCATAAAAATTGTTTATATATAGAGTGTTATTTGGCACCTAAATACACCGAGATGATGGATCAATTTTTTAACTTGAGTCTTCAATAAAAAAATATGATTGTTCTACTGTGTACAAAAATCTTATAAATAAATTGATTGACGTCAAAAATTAAAAAAAATCCAAATAGATATAATATTAATAATAGATAAAAATAATATTACTCCGAGCATTACGAGAAAATTTTATTAAGTTTTTGGAAATGAAGCACCCCCAAATTCAAAACACTATTCGCACCAATTATTTCCAAACTAGTTATTTTAAATTCACCTCCCTCCCATTAAGTTGATCTGTGGACATCTCTGGTTACAGGTTCAAATCTGTAATGAGTTCGAAACGTCAGTATTGTTATGTGTGGACGTAGGGTAGAAAGCAGCAGCTAGGGCATATTCATTCTATAACCATTTATTACGAACTAAACAATCAACATAACCATACATTATCATTATCGTCATTACATCCGTACAGGTGGGTTATCGGTGTGACCATTGATACATAACAAGTATAAAGGTGAAGACATGAATATATCTATAAATATTCCAAATAATACAACAATCCATTGTGCCTACTGAGGCATAATTCGTTAGGAAAAATATTTTTAAATAACGAATAAATGGATACAAAGGTAGAGGCGGACAGAGGAAAGCATATATATGAGAAATGATAAGCAAGCTGACTGTAGTTGATACATAAATATGAAAAAACTAGCTTTTAACAGAGAAAAATGGAGAACCAGGCTTGCAGCGACAAGGCAAGGCCTTTAGTAGAGAAGAAGAAGACAATAATCCATGAAAAATTAGCACATTAATCTAAAGCGTCATGATGCTTTAGAACTGCATTCGTAATGTCACTTTTAAAAATAATTTTAAGTATTAAAGAAGCTGGACAGTAAATGCCACTTTGTGAATTGAAACAATAAATAGTTATTTTTTCTGATATTTTTATAGATTAAAAATGGTAGTTGAAAATATTTATTATAGAATGTGACGAATAATCCACAATTTCTAAATTAAAATATTAAATATATCAATAAATCAATACTGTTTTTTTAAATTCTTTCCCGCACATGTTTGCATGTCCTTGAGGTATATGATTCTCTAGTCATTACGAGCAGTTTGTGTTCACAGTATCCCTACTACAGATGTCAAATTTGCACGTGCATTTTATGTAAATGCTTGTTTTACTAGTATTTAACTCTTAAAGGAAACTTTTATTAATAAAATGGAAGCGATTGGACATAAACTATTTCAACTTGGAGATCCCGAAGGCAAAGGATTTATCATAAGACGAGATATGCAGGTAAAATTAAATTGATAATAAATTTAAATTAATAATATATAGCACAAAATTTATCATAATGATAATAATTCAGAAAAATATTTAATATTTATATCTTTCTTACTAAGGCTTTTTAATTAAAAAAATACCATTTATTAATTTTTGTTAACAAAAAATATTTTGGTTAAAATAAATTGAATTTTATTCTATATTGATTAATTAAAATAAAAACATTAGACACAATAATTATTGAGTATATTTCAAGCTTAATATTCGAAAATTAATTCCCAAAACTTGCATAATATTCCCACACATTCTTCAAGACTACAATGGAAACTACAGAATTGTATAGGTAAATTACATTTTAATAAAAAGTATTTCTTTTAAACATGTGATTACTCAAAAGAAATTATTTGATACACTTTATTTTTTTTTTTTTTCAAAAGCTTTAAAAATTGCATTAAAATTTTGTTTTAGTATAAAAGTATGGATACTTTTAGATTCTTTAATACTTAAATTTAATCTGTTGCAACAAAGCAAAAGTGAGACTTCTCTTTTATATTTTGACAGGATATTATAAATGAAACTCTAATTGCAAACATTTTTATGCGTAACAATTTATGTGAATGATAGTTTAAACATTAGATAAAGAGCAGTCAATGTATTATAAATATTATAATATATTTAGCGACATATGCTAGTCAAAATGTTTTAAAGCAAGTGTTCATATTAAATACCTTAAATGTATTTCGTTACTCAATAATTACTAAACCTGTATTTTCAACAAAAATGTTTTTAAAGAATAATTTAGTCTACTTTAATTATAGTCTAGAATAATTTCATTAGTTGATGAAATTATTTAAAAATGAAGTTTTCACAATTAAGAAATGATATGAGTCCGAGATTTTAATCCAGATTTTATTTGACTACTTTTCTTGTTAGTCTGATCAAAACTATTTTCCAACAATTTACCTAATCAATATATTTTTTTTTAATTTTGCGATGAATAACATTTTATTGTAGATTTTTAAACGTCCTAGAATAGCTAAAAAAACATTAAAGGATTGAAGATGTATTTATATCAGATATCACATAAGATTTCAGTACAATTTAAAATAGTTTATTTTTGGAATAATTAATGATAGATTATGTTATCTTTTTGGACTGAAAAGCATAATATATATATATTCAGCAGTATTATTATATAGCAGTTTTTTTTAACATCCATGAAAACAATATGAATTTGCACACGTAATAACAACACTTGTTTAAACATTATAGGTGTATTTTCTAATGTTATCATGAAGACTAAATACATTAATTCATAACAAATATAAAGCATATTCGATATGGTAGAAAGATTTATTTATATTTTAAAAATACCAAATTATAGGAAATTTTTTAAAAATAATATATAAGTTGAAGCATTTAAGCAGGGCTTTAAAGAGGACTATAATTTAGAAATAGTAGGATTTAAAAGCAATATCACCCTAAAAGCTATATTGTGGAAGGAATATGACTGATTCCTTCCACAATATAGATTATACAAAGTTTCATAGCTAGTTTTAATGTCATATTAAATTAATTATATATATTTTTGTAAGCGTTTCTTTGCAAAATTAGAGTTCTGAAGGGAGCGTAGCCTCCTTGTTAAATATAGTGAAATAATCATAGAAAAATAAAATCTAGTTGATTAATATAAATATTAATTAATTTTATTTCTATTTTCGTTTTAATAACATATAGTAAACACACTAAGTCTTTTTAAAAGAACTTTTATGAAAGATGTTTATGATAAACTACTCAATTACTTGAAAAATCTTCTTCTTCTTTTTCCTATCCTTTATCTCAACTAATTGGAGTCTGCCACTCTTATCCTAAACTTCCATTTGACACGATCTCTTACATCATCTACACACAAATCTGCCGTCGTTATACTCAAGTTTGAAATTCTAAAACCACAAGATAAACTTATTGCAACAGTCTCAAAAGTTACCCAACTCTTTTATGATACTATTAAAATAAACTTAAAGAATTTCAAGAAAAATATAATTCTTTTATGAATTTTTTATTGAGTAAAAACTGAAAATTGTACAACCCCCTTGAATAATTCATACCTTGAAGAATTATTTCAAGTCATATTACTTAATTTGATAACATGGTATTAATTAAATATCTATGTATAGTATTTGATTCATTAACATTATTTGATTAACTTATTTAAATAAAATATTTAGAAACTTAAAGACGAGCTATGTATGTCACCTGAACAGCTTGAAGTTGTTTTTGACACTTTGGATATTGAGCAAAAAGGATATATTACATTAAATCAATTTTTAGAAAGATTCAGTAAGTATAAACATATTGTTAACAGAGCTTAATGATTTGGTCATAGATAGAAATGCAATCAATTTTTTTAATGTAGATTAATGAAGAAATAATAGTTTTACAATTATTATAAATATTTAATAAAAATGATAATGTTATTAAAAACGATTTAAAATTTCAATTAAGACATTACTTTAAATGGAAGGAAACACTAACCTACTTTTTGTAAAATTATGGAAAATTTTTTGAAAAATTCAAATATAATTCTGGAATATAGCAGTGACCCTCAGTCATTTTATTTTTTTGAGCATAAAAATTGTTTGTAAAACACAATATTAAACTAAAACATCTTCTCCTCAGAATTTTTTAGGTTGTCAATAGAAAATAAAGTAATATAATACTAATAAAAAAACCCAGCACAGGGGGGTCGCGGCACAGTGGTGACGTGGCATAGTTGGATCAAGTATAATGATATCTGACAGTGATTAAAATCACTATAAAAAAAAACGCTTCGATGCAAATCTTTAGATAGTGTTTAATTTAAAAAAATTGGTGGATTATTCCAAAAGCTTCATAAACTGCTAGTTCCTTATTAATATCCTGATTAAGATAAAGTATGTCAAATGAAAAAGAGAATATTAAAAAACATTATTTCTCAAAAAAAAATTATGTTGATCCATACACTTTTCAATTAGTTATAGCATTATAATGTTAAAAATGTAAAAAATAAAATGGAAAATTTTCACACAATAATAGCATTTGGTAGCCATTTTCACCGTGAAGATAAAATAAAGTTCGAAATTTTTCACGATAAAGTATATTACATTAGCTTTAATTTAAGATATATATAAAAGTGTCAGACCTTTCAGAACACTTTCAAAAGTTAAGTTGAAAAAATTAATTTTTTGTAAAAAAGTTGTCATTTTAAATCCCCCCCTGTGGGCAAGTAAAGGGTCACATATATAAAAAAAATATACCAAATGAAAGTTTATATCATAATGATATCATGCATCTATATAAAAAAAAAATTATGTTGATATGTTCATTTTTAAAAAAGTTATGACAGTTTTTAGTAAAAAAAATTGAAAAAATTTCGAAAATTAGCCATTTTTAAATTTGTAATTTTTTTGGAGGTTTCCCCCATTTACGGGGAACGAGGGAATTTTTTTCAATTTTTGAGGGTAATGACTTCGACTAAATACGATTTGTGATCTTTTGACGTATCATTGAAAGAAATCGGTTCGGTGAGAGCTGAGAAAAAGTGGTAACAGACACAAAAAAAAAAAAAATTAAAAAAAAAAANTGGTAACAGACACAAAAAAATAAAAAATTAAAAAAAAAAACACATCTTAGAAAAACCAATACCTTCTCAGCTTCGCATCGAAGCTAACAAATGAATGTAATAACATTCATTAATTTCAATTTATTTAATATTAATTTGAATTTCATTAAACATCAAGTAATTATTTTAATTCAGTGCTTGTAAAATACTACAAAGTTAGTTAACTCAAAGTTTAGATATTCACTTCTCATTGAATCTGTACTTGTCTTTTAACAAACCAATATTTTAAGCACTTCAAATTAATTTTTCTTTTTATATAAATGTTTTAAAACTTACATAATTTTGTTAGCTACTCAAAAATAATTGTATTTGAAATTAAAATCGGTGACCTATTATTATAATATACAAATATCTATAAACATTTATATATATTTATAAATATATATATTAAATATTTTAAAATATTGAATCAGAGCCATATTATAACTCAATTAATATATGTATTCTAAGGAGTCCTTAAAGTATGATTACATGAGCGTTTCCAGAATTTTTGAAGTTGTCCTACCAAATGATAGGACCAAAAAAGTTTAATATAAAATGTATATTTAAAGTTCATTTATAGCTTCAGTACAGAGCGTTAGGGTATGAATTTTACTATACTTTGTTTCCTATTTTATTTATTGCAAAAATTCCCAACCAGCTCTCAATGAACTAAACTTTAAAAGATCATAAATTTTTCATTGCTAATGATATCACCCAAATTTTGTCTTTGATTCATACAATAAGGAAAAATATCCTAAAATATAATAATTATTAAAATTGGTTTATTTTAAATTACTTATTAGATATTTTTAACTGCTATAACTTCTTGTAAAATGTATGGATTACAACAAAATGTATACATTTTATATCTAAAAAATAAATTGTATCAAATAATAAAATTCATTTAAAGAAAAATGTTTTTGTTTTGATAGTAAAAAAGTGGTTATTTTTATTTTATATTTAAGAGTAAAAATATAACTTTGTTTTTGTTCCCTGAAAAATGATCAAAATGTGCTACTACCATTTTTATCCTGTATCCTTAATTTAATTTTTCTTTAAATATACCATTATTATGAATGTGTTAAAGATTTCATGGATTGCTTTGTTGCTTGAAGTGCTTAAGAATGTATCCATGTTTACATACCACTATTATTTCAATTATTAACGTATGTACAGAAGAGTTTGACAGTTGTGCAAAAGAATGGTGGTATTGACGAGGATGTAAGACACAGAATTAAATGCTGGTGGTTGAAGTGGAGAGAAGCCTCTGGTGTCTTATGCGATAAAAGAATTCCAATGAGGCTGAAAGGTAAATTCTACAAGACTGTAATAAGGCCAGCTATGAAGTATGGTTCGGTGTGTTAGGCGTTTGATAAGGAAGTATTCTAGAGAATGAGTGTAGCAAAGATGAGAATGATTAGATGGATGAGTGGAGTGACTAGAGGAGATAGGATAAGAAACGAACATATAAGAGGGAATATAGGTGTAGCGTCAATCGTGGATAAGATGAGAGAAAATAGACTTAGATGGTTTGGTCCTTATGAGGAGAGAAGAATCGGAAACCGTAAGAACAGTTATAGCAATGAATGTTGAAGGAAGAAGAGGTAGAGGAAGACCAAAAACGAGATGAAGGAATGTTATTGAATGTGATATGAGGACAGCTGATGTGAGCGTAGAGGACGTGGAAGATCGTGTCAAGTGGAAGTTTAGGATAAGGGTGGCCGACCCCAAGTAGTTGGGATTAAGGCGAGGAAGAAGAAGATGTACAGAAGAGTTTGAATAAAAAAAACAAACGAAAATTAAATTTTTTATTATTAACAATGACCCGAAAAATCTACTTCCTTAATAAAATATTATATTAAATTTTATGTAAAATACATTATAAAAAACATTTTAATGGCTTATCTATTATAAGCATTAACATTAATCGGGAAAGTAGACCTAATGATTTTTATCAGTGATGTACTTAAAGGGATGTAACACCTACTTGAACACATGCTATACATCATTTTGTTTAACCTTTTTTTTTTAATATAATTTTCTAAGTATATATACATTATATAACGATTAAGAAATATTAACTGATACGTTAGCTTAATAAATATGTAAAATAAATTTGAAAAATATTTTTGCACACTAAACTCTTACAAAGTGTTTTTTTTTTAAATTTTCATTTAAAACACCTTTGTTGAAAAAACATGGATTGTTATAAACTAAAATACTATTATTATATACTATATTTTACCAACTGAAAGGGAAGCATGTAATTAGAGTGCCAAAAAAAAAAGGCAATCAAATCATATATTTAAACATTCCCCTTGAGAAAATCTTGCGTACGTCATTAATCTTCATATACTAAGAGTAACTTTTTTTTATTAAAAATTTGAATTCGAAATACACCTACTAGGGAATTGTTTCTGTAAAGAAAATTTCGACGAATTTGAAGCTTTATACAACATCGGTCTTATAGTTCTAAGAAAACATAAAATATTGTCATTTTTTCCACTTATAAAATAGAATTTTTTAACAATTATTATTACCTAATATCATAAATTATTTAATTAAAAAAAAAAGCACAAACATACATTTCCGTCCAAAAAAAACAAATTTTTTTTAATTTTTATGAAAATTTCTTAGGTTATAGCTTTTTGACTTTAAAACCTATATTTCCAATTAAAAAAAAAACGGTAGCACAGTGGGGTCGTAACACAGTGTGGGTGTGGCATAGTTGGACCAAGTATAGATGATATCTGACAGTGATTAAAATCACTATTATTAAAAACGCCTCAATGCAAATCTATAGATAGTAATTAATTTTATGAAATTTATGGATTATTCAATATTCAAGTTCTAACTCAAAAAGAATTAAGGAAAAATTGAAAAAAAAAATTAATGCCATAGACCAGTGGTCGGCAACCGGCGGCCCGCGGGCCGGATACGGCCCGCGTGGCTATTGAATACGGCCCGCTTTAAATTCTAAATCGACTAATTTAATTGAATATAATTTTGTATAAATATAATTGAACGTTGCGTTTTTGGTACGGATATTTTATATAAGTCATATTATTATTTTAAGTTTTAGATAGTATTTTTTTGCATAATAAATAATGTAATTATAAATTTTTTTTTTTTATCTGGCCCGCGAACTCTTTTTAATTTGTAAATGTGGCCCGAGAATTAAAAAAGGTTGCCGACCACTGCCATAGACAATGATTTTTACTGAATCAGCAGATGTTCCTTTTATTTGTTTTTTAATAAAATTGGCAATTTGAATCAGCTTTCAAATGTTAAGATTTATTTTTTGATTTAAAAGAAAAACAAATTGAAATAACATTAATTTTATATTCTGTTCTTTTAATTTTATATAAGTTTCATGAAAATCAGTGTACCTCATTATAAGATATATTAAAATAAATTAAAATACAAAACCAAAAATTTTAACACTAAAATAGCATATTTTTGAATATGATTTTTTATTTTTTTTTGTTTCTGTCACTACTTTTTCTCAGCTCTCACTGGATCGATTTTTCTCAAAGATACGTCAAAAGATCACAAGCTGTATATAGTTGAAGACATTACCCTAAAAAATTGAAAATTTTGGCCTCGTTCCCCGTAAATGATAAAAATCCCCTAAAAAATTATAACACAAATATAACTTTTTCAACTTCAGTTTTGAAAATTTTCAGGAATTACTCCGAGCTTCAAACATATGTTAAAATAAAGGTAATGTTATGCATTATAATTTCAAAAAAAAATTTGTCCCGAAGACTTAACTTTTATATGCAAATGGTTGGTAGTTCAAAAACATTTACGATTTCAGATTTTATTTTTTCAACTTTAAATTGTCTTGTCATTAATTAGTCAAAAAAAAAACTTATTTTACATATAGCTATATAGAGTGTTTTTAAAAATAAAATAAAATAAAAAAATAAAAAAAACTTTAAATTATTTTATCTTTTTGAAAAATGTATGAATCAATACAAATTTTTGTTTCTAAATAAATCTTATTTAGTAATAGAACAAGGAAAAAAACGCTTTTCTGAAAATATTACTTAGCGTGCTCGGATTTTCAAAATTTTTTTTTTTAACGAAAGCACTCGGTTACCAAACTCCAACAAAATTATTGGCGAAGGTCGGAAAATTTTTGCCGCTCGCCCGCGAGCGTTTTAAATTTTCGACTGTTTTCGAGAAAAATACTCACTGACGCCTGCGTTTTACGACTTAAGATTTGAAATTTTCATCAGACCCGCCCAATAACATTTCTGAGATATGATAAAAAAATCAATTCAATCCGTTCATTTTTCACCGTTTTACGAACTTTTTTTTTAAAGTTCATGCGTATGGTTTTAATATGCGCATTGATTCATTTCTTGATTCTGCTCATACGTTTATTATGAACCATTATCATATTGAAAAATATACTATTTTTGTATTAAAAATCTTGATATTGTATTTTAATTTATTTTAATATATCTTATTATGAGGTACACTGATTTTCATGAATATAATATAAAATTAAAAGAATAGAATATAAAGTTAAAGTTATTTCAATTTTTTTTTTATTTTATATCAAAAAATAAATTTTAACTTTTGAAAGTTGATTCAGATTGCCAATTTTATCAAAAAACGAATGCGACTAACGAATGATTATTCCTTAATTCTTTTGGGGTTAGAATTTTGCTTTTGAATAATCCATCAATATCTTAAAATTAAACACTATCTACAGATTTGCATTGAAGAATTTCTTATGATAATGATTTTAATCACTGTTAGATATCATCTATAATTGGTCCAGCTATGCCACTTCCACACTGTGTTATAGTCTTTAATTTCATTATGGAGGGTATTATCCTCCACATATGTCCACGACGCTCATGATATTGGTCCATTACCAAGTTATTTCAGATATTGACTAAATTTAATAATCGCTCTAGTCTCATTCAACCAAAACTTATAAAAATATGCTCGACATCTAATCAAAATATTATTTTTAAAGATAATTAACAAATTATATATTCTTTTTAATTCCTTCCAACATAATTTTTATACCTAGTGCAACATATAACCGCTAAGTAATAATTATATATATATTTTTCTTTGGAAGCTTTAAGTAGAATATATTTTTCACTGTTTGAAATCATTTCCTAAACATAAAAAACTTAAATTTATTATAACAATAATTTATACTTGTTAAATAAAAAAAAATATATAATTTTATATTGTATAGAATCTTATATCTTCAAATAACATAAGAATGTGAAGGTTATCATTTGTAAATGATTATTAAGAAAAATTGTTGATAATTAAAAAAAATACATGTATATTATTTATTATACGTTTAGGGTGTATTTACAATTTTGATTCTAAAAATAAAAAAAAAAATTCTGTTATTTAAAAAAAATATAAAGTTTCCTTTTGTATGATTAATACTTTTTTTAAATAAAGAACAAATATAAAAAACATGTTTCTATTTAAAAATTACTCATAGACATATGGTGATAGGCTTGAGGGAATATAGCTCTTTCAGTTTAGAAATAAGCTCCAAAAAATTTGAAATATTGTTCATATGTTTTATAAAAATACTATTAGATATAGTGGAAATGTCAGTTAATCCCCTCATAATATTTTTAACCCTTCGCCTACGAAACTGTTATTGACAAAATATTTTAATGTATTCTATAAAACCACCTTTAAAATCATGTTTATTTAGTATTAAATATTATTATTACAAATTAAATTGCTTTAAATATTTCTTTTGCATAAAAATATACCGCTTAAGATTCGTCCTTTTATGTTAATACACCATTGTATACATGTATTTTGAATGACTTCTCATATTCTATGTTCTTTTAACCAAACAATGGCTATTTCGAAACAATTAATTTTCTTATTTAAATTCTACCTTACTTCGAGACGGTATATTAATTACTTAATTAATTATATAAATATATTTGCATTAATCGGGAACATTTTAACATATTATGACATCTGAAGTTTTTACAATTTCTGATCGATAGAAGTTCTAATTGAAGCTTTCAGCCCAGAAGTTCCAGAATTAAGTCCACCGGCACAAAAAAATAAAAACGTGGTTGATGATAAATCAAGTTCTATTGAACTTAGCATCGAAACTAAAAAAGGTATATGTGATTGCGTTAACAAATAAAATATAAATTAAAAAAAAATTCTGTTAAGGGCTAAATAAGTTTAAATAGTTTTAGATTTCAAAATTAACTCACTTTGTTTCTAAAACGCGATTAATATTTTTACCGTTAAATTTTATAAAATACCTTGGTCGCCTTTTTTTTTATAACTTTTGTTATATAAATATAATAGCTCGAAAATTCAACAATAATTAATAGATGGGTTAAAAAATAGCGTAAAATTACAGAAATAATTGGTGTTAAATAGTATAACAAGAGTAAGGTATGTAAATACTTTATAAATAGATGAATATACAATAAATTAAAACATTGATTGTTATTTCCTAAAAAATATTCTTTGACACTATCTTATAAACTTTATATTTTAGACTAAGAGGCAAAAACCGGCATAATTGGGCAATTTTTTTACTATATCATAAAAGGGTTTTAGTCAACATTTTTATTTGATTTGAAAAATAACAAATAAATAAGACAAATTTTATATTTAGCGAACCAGAGTCGTATTTACAGTGGTATTTTCCGAGTTCAAATCAAAGTACTTTATACAAAAAAACCAATTACATTAAATTGATATAATAATTTATGTCATGAAATTTTATATGTAATAGAATAAATGCTTTAAATTTTCTTTATATATATATATATATAACTCTAGATGACACGTCAACAATTTCCACTCAAAATTATCTATGGAAAGAAAATACAGTTACTTTTAAATTGTCATTTTCGGATGATATTCCAACATTACTGCAAAATATTAAAGAAATGAATATTTTAAAATTGTAAGAACAAAAAAAATATTCTAATTTAAAATTTATTCAGAATTATTTACATAATTATTATGAATGAATATGAAATGATTTTTTTTTTAATTTCAAATTGCCTTTATTTTTTTCTATTATAATGAGTAAACCGTGTTCAATCAGAATAATAATATATAAATACCAACAACAAATATTGTGATGACACCTAAATTGTTGGGTATTGAAGACAAAAAAAATTATAAAAACATTACTACTGTGTATAAAAAGTTTTGATAAGAATCATATAGTACCTTGACTGCAAAATGGTTCTTTGTTACTATTTGAGCTATCTTATTTATATACATATTTATTTAGAATTTTCCAAGTCAACAATACAAATAATTTTTCTCCTACTTAGATTTCTATTATATTATATATATAAAATCTTTTAACCCCTCCCAAACGTCAATTGATAGATACTTGTACCTCTTAACAACTGAAGTACTATATTAGTAGATATATTTTTTTTCTTCTCGCTCTCGTGCTCTCTATCTCAACTACATGGATTCGGCTAATCGTATCCTAAACCTCCATTTAACATGATCTCTCAAGTCATACCAGTTACATTCGAATATCTTTTTTTCGGTTATCCTATTCCTTCTTCAACTCTAATTTCCATAACCGTTTTTACAGCTCCCGATTTCTCACGCTTCATAATATGATCAAATCAACTAAGCCTATTTCCCCTCATCTTATACACGATAGATGCTACTTCTATCCATATCAAATCATTCAGAGTGGTCGTGCAATCATTTTAAACTTTTTTGAAATTTCACACATGAGTTGCCTAGTATTTAAATAAAAAAAAATTTTTTTAGATGAAAGTAGATTTATGACCTGTTAAAATTTTGAAATTGCAAAATACCGGTATTTCGTAAAAATATCCCTGAAACTTATGTATTTTTACTTTATACTTGAAAATTTCATCACTTTTTCATTATGAGGAGAAAATTAAATCATAAAAATTTCACACAATATTATTACACATGTTGACTTTCTATAGTAAAAATTTCAAATTTAGTATTTTACCGAAACCAACATAAAATTAGCTAAAATGTAAAGCTTATGGTTGAAGGTGCTAGATTAAAAGCTGGTTATAAATACTATCTAAATTGCTTAGTTTGTAATATTGAAAATTGTAATTGTATGATTGGAGAATGCGTTATTTGTTTGAATTGGAGTGACAGTTTAAAAAAATGCTATCTGACGATTTAGATGATGGCCCAGAAAATATTATATATAAACAATGGGTTAGTACAAATAGAGCTGATTTAGTCACTAATATTTTACCTATCTATTATTTTATTGATTTATTAAGTAAAAAATTGAGTATTTTATCATTTAAATTTTTTAAAAAATTTTTACCATAGAAAGTAACATGTGTAATAATATTTTGTAAAGTTTTTATGATATAATTTTCTGTCCCATTGGGGAAAAACTCAGTTAAGTTGCCTAAAAATAGTTATTTTAGAAATTTGAACTCTTTTACACTTGTGTTACTAAAAACAGGCCAAAGTAAAAAATTTCAAAATACAATTAAATTATAATACTGAGTTATGTTAATATGTAAACAAATTTTGTATTTAAAAAAATGTATTTCATCGTTAATTTTAATTTTGAAAATGTCATTTTTTGTACAAAAACAAAAAAAAAACCTTTCTCAAAATTACTGAAAAAATTAATTAAAATTTAAAAATCCTATTGTTAATTATTGGACATGTTAGAAGACCTCATTATGAAAAAGTTTTATGATAAAAGTCTTAAGTATAAACACATAGATTTCAAGGATATTTTTACGAAATACTGGTATTTGCAATTTCAAAATTTTGACAGGTCATAAATCTACTTTCACCTAAAAATTTTTTTTTTATTTAAATACTAGGCAACTCATGTGTGAAATTTCAAACAAATTTAAAATGATTGCACGGCCACTCTGAATGATTTTATTTTTCTCTTTATTTCACTTAACCATCTAAGCATTCTCACCTTTGTTACAATTATACTTTACTCTTCATTCTTGTCAATTTACCATCATAAATATTGTATATATTCCGTCTTCTACTAATCCCTCCTAATCACTTTCCTGCAAGAGCTAATATCTCCATCTCAAGCCTTAAGATAACTTCCTCCTTATTTTCTCCTATTAACATTATATCATTAGCAAACAATATGAACTACGGTACCTTTCCTTGTATTTCCTTAGTAATTTCATCTATTACTATAGAAAATAGACAAGGACTTAAACCAAAAACTTGGTGCTCACAAACTGTTACCCTGAAATCGTCTGTCTTTTCACACACACTTTTTACCCTAATAAAAGTACCTTCACACATATCCTCTATTACATCAATGTACGTTTTTGGAACTCCTTTTCTCATTAACAATCATTATAAATCCTCCCTTGGTACTCTGTCATACTCTCTCTCCAAATCTATGAACACCATACTAAGCTTTTTCTTCTTCCCCTACATTTTCTATTTAAATATTTCTTACAAAATAACGTCTACATCGTTGATTTTTTTTATCTTATTCTCTATTTTCATTTCCCAAATCTTCATAACAAGACTTATAAGGTTTATACTTCTATAGTTTCTACATTCCTGTATATCTCCTTTGACTGTAAATACAGGTACTACAAATCTTTTCCTCCGCTCTTCTGACATGTTACCTTTTGTTAAGATATTATTAAATATATCATACTTAAGTAGATATAATTTATTTAAAATAATAACTTCATAATAAAAAATATTCATAATTCATAGAAGTTTAGGACATTTAGAAACTATCTGTAATGCTGCTCAGCCAGAAACAGATAACTCTGTTATTGTGGGTCGTATCGAAGTGTTTCTTAGAAACTTACATATAGACTTAACTAAGATTGCCGAAAAACATCAGGAATTAGAAGATCTTTTACAAAGTCGTGAAGTTCAACATCAAAATAATGTATGTTTATTTAAAATATTTTAATAGAGATTTATTGAAATTGTTTCTTATCTTAATTTAATAACTCATTAGATACAAAAACTTTTCGAAGAACTTGAAAGTCATTTTCGCGAAGAACAGGAAAAAACTAAAATTGAAGTATTTTTTTTATAAATAAAAATAAAAAGTCGCTGGCTAATTGGTTTATTTATTGGTATGTATAATTAAAGGATCAAAAAAAATTTAAAACTGAATTAACAGCATTGGAAAATGAAATTTCCGATAAAGATGAAAGATTGCGGGCTACTGTATTAACACGCCAAGAACTTGCAAGCCAACTAGTAGTAGCTCAAAAACGAGAGCTGGCTTTACTAAATGAAAACGCGGAATTAAATAAAAAACAGGTTATAACCATTCATTAAACATTTATTTCATTTATTACCAGAATTACTAACGTTATTTTATAATTATGGATGATATCTGACAATGATTAACCACTATCATAAAAAACGTTTCGATGGGAATTTGTTAAATTTTACAATCATTTTTATATTTATCATTTCACAATATCTATGTTTTTTACTTAGACGGCCTACTTTATCATAATAAAACAATCGTTGGAATTTTTTTTTTAATTTAGTCTATTTCTAAAACTTTAATGTGGTATAAGGTTGAAGACTCTAAACGTTCCGACACTTTTTAAAAATTAAGTTGAAAAAAACAAATTCTCATGTGTGGTTTCTTTTAAACCCTTTTTGTACTTGTTTTTTATTGAATTTTCTCAAAAAAAAAAAACATAATAATAAAAGAAAGCCTACTGTTTATAGTACTATATATACTATATATACTCTATCAATATTTTTAGTTTCATTGTTTTATAATTAAGTTATATTAACTTTAAAATGCCGAAAAAAAATTTAAGTTATCGATCAAATAAGAGTTGAGTACTATCATGGATAGACATAAAAAAACACACCATAATAAAAACAATATCATCTCAGATTTATATTGAAGCTAAAATAATGAAAGACGAAATAAATCCGTGAAATTTAAAAAATAACACATTGTCTGTCGGTTTATACCGGTCTTTCTCGTTATATAACCGTCAAAACTAAAAATAAAATACACTACAGGACTCCCAGTGAAATTTTAATATAATTTCTGTTCTTATCGTGTATAATAAAAATTGATCACTTGTGGCTATATTACTTAAAATTAAAACTATATTTAAAATATTATTAATTTAAAACTAAAAAATATTAAAAATATTTAACTGAAAAAGCCACAAAAAAAAAAATTACTAAAAAATCGTGGATACTTTGGGAACAACGTTACCATTTTAAACGCTAACATATACTTACACCCCAACCGAAAAAATACCCCTGATATACCCTAGTGACGTTATTATTAAATAATATTATCACATTTTGCCAGTTTACACAATTTTAATAAAGAATTTTTCAGTGGGCCAGAATCCCAATTAATTAAAATGTTTTTATTTTTAAACATTTCTATTACCTCCCTTTTATTAAGTTGTTTGTAACTATTTACATTTTTAAATAGTTTTATGGTTTTAATGGAGTAGTTATGTTTCAATAAATGTTCAGGCACTGGAGATTTATCAACATCTCGATTTTTAATGTTTCTTAAATGCTTTTTAAACTTGACACCTATATTTCTTTTTTTGTTCTACGTCACATTTATTAAAACTTTCACATTTTTGTATTTTATAAATGCCCGATTTTCCCCTTCTTTTACCTTATTACTTTAGGACTACCTAATAAATCTCTTAAATCATTACTTTTAATTGTTATTAAAGTAGTACCAAAGTTCTTAAAAATCTAATTAGTCAATTTTAAATGCTCTTATAATATAAGATGGGTGATCTAATTACTTTTTGTTCCCCCATGCCACTGAGTGTACAGTAGTGGTACAATTATAAGATACCCCCCAAATCTTATATTTCACGCGTTTAGATTTTGGGCTTGTACGTAATCGTAAGTAAACGTTTAAATCATCAAGTAAATGCATACAACTTTTTTTTCTATACAGAGTGGCCCACCACTCACTGACAACTTAAATAACTTTTGATCCAGTTAATATTTTTAGCTGATTTTTTTTTTAAATAATAGTTATACGTTAGGTCCATAGCTATATCTCAATAATTAATTTTTTTACATTTTATTAAAAATATTATTTATTTTTTAATTTTAAATAAAATGTAAAAAAAAAATCTAAGATAGCTATTTTGTAGAGTAGAATTTAAGAAAAATTTTAGTAAAAAAATATCTTATTAATATTCAGTAGTAAATATTCTGTAGCGTTTTGAAGTTTGTGAAAATTTGAATTTTCATGTACTATTTTACGGTATTAAACATTGAAATACGTATTGAGAAAAGGACAGAAGAAAACGCTATCTTTTCAATATACTTTTGAATGAGAGTGATAAGTAATAATTGCCTTATCTAATTTCTTATCATGGTATTTATGCCAAGTTTGTAATGTATACACACTATCATCATATGTATACACAGTAATCATGAAAAGATAGCGTTTTCTTCTGTCCTTTTCTCAATACGTATTTCAATGTTTAATACCGTAAAATAGTACATGAAAATTCAAATTTTCACAAACTTCAAAACGCTACAGAATATTTACTACTGAATATTAATAAGATATTTTTTTACTAAAATTTTTCTTAAATTCTACTCTACAAAATAGCTATCTTAGATTTTTTTTTTACATTTTATTTAAAATTTAAAAATAATTAATATTTTTAATAAAATGTAAAAAAAATAATTATTGAGATATAGCTATAGACCTAACGTATAACTATTATTTAAAAAAAAAATCAGCTAAAAATATTAACTGGATCAAAAGTTATTTAAGTTGTCAGTGAGTGGTGGGCCACCTGTATAATGTGTTCATAAAATTAAAAGAAAATCGCTTATTTTGCATTAGGTCCATTTGCAACTTAATTTTTACTTACATTTTAGTTAAAAATATTATTTTTACAAATACAGAAAATTTCAGTCATTAAGTAATATTAAATGCTTTCTAAAAAAATTTTTCTAACATCCAACTGTGTAATTTTTTTTTCTACATATTATTTGGATAATTAAATGTAATAATACTAATGAATCTATCAGGTGCTTAATAATAAAGTAATAGAACATCGACTTTTAGTATATAATAAAAGAATAAATATATATTACGTTTACAACAAATTAATAGTAAATGAATATCGCGGGTAGTCTGCATGGAGACGGTAAAAGATCAACTAACTAGCATTACCATCTATACGGATGACACAACGGTCGATCACCAGTATAGCAACAATAAGCTGACCCCTCTAACAACAACAGTGCGATATTAATATCTATAGACATATTTCTTTTTACAATAATTCATCTACATTTGAGCTCACCAATTTTAAATGGTCATAGCCTATCACAGCACTGAATGGTTTTTGACTATCTCGCCTGTTAGATCATGTACCACTTATCTGTCATACCTAAGCATTTTAGTTATCTCATATGGACCTTTGTACTTTAGTTCTAGTTTTTTACTTTGTCCTGTAGCAGGCGGATCCCACCTAACCATTACTAATTCACTTGTATTGTTCTTTGATGTTTTTTTTTCATTCGTTTATTATTGTCAACATTTTCTCCCTAATTTCCTTTAGACATTCAGCTAAATTAACATTTTCTACCTTTTCTTTATTGACCTAACTGTTTCTATCTCTCCATTCAAACTATTAGAAATTAATCCATTTGATCATAGTTATGTATAACGTCAAACGGTTTACGTTTTGTTGTCTGTATACTATTATTTACAGACCATTGTACTTCCATTAACTTTATATCCCAATCTCTGTTCTCCTCACTTTCAGTTATCACCTCCTTCTTCTTCTTCCTCGCCTTAATCCCAACTACTTGGGGTCGGCCACCCTTATCCTAAACTTCCACTTGACACGATCTTCCACGTCCTCTACGCTCACATCAGCTGTCCTCATATCACATTCAATAACATTCCTTCATCTCGTTTTTGGTCTTCCTCTACCTCTTCTTCCTTCAACACACATTCAGTTATCACCGCTAAACATTTAATAATTTATTTGTTTNCACATTCAGTTATCACCGCTAAACATTTAATAATTTATTTGTTTTCTCAACTTGACCATTACTCCTAGGACTCTTGGTTGCAGTTTTTACATGTATAATATTGTGATATCTACAAAACTATTAAAAAATCACCGAAGTATAAGCGGAACCTCGATTGCTAATAAACCAAAGTAGCTTGCCATAATGATTTTTAAAAAGTCGTACGTACACTTTTGTTTCCTCGTCACTCACATCTTTCACTGCGCTCGAAAACACGTACTTACTATATAAGTTTGAATTTTTATTTAAATTTTTCTTATAACAAAAATTAAAAATTATAATATATTGTCAGGTTTTAAAGTAATGAATAATAATGGATTGTCATATGCAAAATAAACAATAAAAATAATAATGATACTATTGTAGTCAAATTTAATTGTAAAAACATTAAAGATAATACAGCGAAACCAATTAAAGAATAATATAAAGATAGTCAATGGCTGATGAATTGCATGAAATTCTTTATAAAACACTTGTATATTAACCATATCCTAACTAAATTTAACAGAATTTTACTCTGGTTACCAAAATCAGTAGATAATGAGTATAGTTATCAGTATCATGCTGTCATTGGTACACTAGGGCAATAATATATTTGGTGCCCATATTTAATATATATTTTTAATAAGTATCTTATTCAAATCCCCTCGAATCTCGTAATAAAGGAAAATGATCCACAAAATTACAGTTGTTTTAAAACAGATGATATTGATATTTTTAAATTTTACTTTATACTAAAATAACTTAATGAAAATTGGACGAATTATTGCGAAATTTGTATTAATAATACTTCAAACATTTGTTTTACTGATGTTTTTCATTCTCTAAAAAATTATTCCCCATTGAATTGTCTACAAAATAATTTATTGTTTTATTTTTCAATAACTCAATTTATCTATCTTATATTTAATTTTAGAAATCATTGGAAAAAGAATTAGACGCCGAAAAATTAAAAAATAACAAGTTGGAAGAGTTACTAGAAAAAACCAAAGTAGAATCATCGGTATCCAAGGAAAAGCATTTTAAACAAGGATTCTTCATCGCGAAAAATTTAATTACTTTTAAAGAAGAAGGTCCTGGAGTTAATCTTTAATATGGTGTGCTGATATTTAGCTTATCTTACTGTATTTATGATTCAAAAGCCACTAAATTGTTATAAAACAACAAGTCTTTTTAGGGATTTCCTTTTAAATATAGATTAAAATATAAAATAAATTTCCCTAGAAATAAAAATCTACAAGATAAAGAAATATGGACTCTGAAAGTTCCCTTAAAAGAGACGTTGAGGCATACATCCATTTATGTTTTTTTAATATTATTTGAACCACCTCTTCTTGGAAAAAAAATCATAAAACCTCTCTAAAAAATTTTCTGGTCATACCATTGTTCTAGAGCATAAAATTCCTAAATACATTATCTTCGAAAGTAATCAACTTAGAATATTAACTTCGTTATTCATAAAATATTTTATTATGTATCGCTGTGTTTAATTACAGGACTTTATCAACAACTTCAAATTTTGAAAGACATGAAAAACGTGTTGTTAAACTAAATACTACAGATTATTTTGTATATTATATAACGTCTATTTTATAATAAAAAATGTATATTATTTAAAAATATAATTGAATAATTTTAATTGTTAGATTGTTCTAGTTTAATGACTTAATAACCAAGCTTACATTGCAATAGCCAAGGTCCAAAATAACATTAAGATTCTGTGCACGGTTGTTGATGTATTAATCAACTTGTTTTAAGGACTCATAAAATATCTTTCAACAAAACATTTATATAAAAAAAAAAATTTTATGTAGAAAATTAATTTATAAATATATTTCTTGAGTAATTTTCTATGATGAAATTTAATTAATTTTTTATGTGTAAAATAATAAAATAGTGAGAAAAATAATTGTTCATATTATTGACAATTATATAAAAATCCAAATAAGTTTTTAAAAAATGTTCTAAAAAAAATAGTTTGAAGCATAAGTGAATCGTTTTAAATATTCTATAAAACAAATATAAATGTTGAATTTTTTTCTAAATTAAAATATAAAAGAGGATTTTTTGTTATTAGTAAATTAATGTACTTAAGATAACTAACTCTTAGGTCAATTTAGTTTTCATTTATCTATTAAACAATAAAAGTAGGATTTTATTTGAAAACAACGAAGATTACTTTCGTCATATAACGGACATCATTTTAATCTCAATAAAAACCTAGTTATTACGTCCATTTATAAATACAGATTTTTGAAAACAATTGTTATACTGTTCCGAGACGAAAAACAGTATTACTTTAATTTGAGTTGTTAATATTAGGAAGATTTGTTTAACATATTACTCAGTATAAAGTATTAAACATCGTAAGCAAGTTTTTTTACATGCATCAGAATTTTGCATACAAAACAATTAAAAATATTTATGCTTAAATTAATAAAACAGCTTAGATTTGAATAATACTAAATTAAGTTGTTTATAATTCTTACTGAAACTAGATGATGCAATCGATACTTATACTTTTTTAGTTACAATATATTAACTAAATATGATTACTTAAGTAACCCCTTAATTACAGGTTTCAACAATTTTATACAAAAAGGTAAATTCTACATTTATTTTTTTGTAAAATTATCAATTAATTATATCCAATATTTAAGTGTCAAATTTATCTTTCCTACTTTCAAGAAAATTATGTACTTGTTAATACTCAGTGACGTTACCACAAAAAAATCCTAGTTTTATTTTAGGGTATTCTCTGATTTATTAGAGTACCCCTTCAATATAAATAACACATAACTATTATTTTTCTAGAGTATGTTAATTAAAAAATATATTAGTGGGTAACATACATCATATACACCTCAAAACACCACTTAAACATACTTAAAATTTTAATAAGAAAAGAAATCAGATTCATAGGAAATATAACTAAAACATCAATTCAGTTGCAGTTATTTTTTTAATATTCTGTCTATAAATGTCTTGTATAAAAAAAAATTTTATTGTTAAACAAATTTAATGCAGTAAGCGATATTTGAGGATGCACTATAATTTAAATGTTTAATATTCTTCACCACCTTCGCCTTCTCCTTCAACGGAGTCCATGCCAACTTCTTCATAATCTTTTTCTAAAGCAGCCAAATCTTCACGTGCCTCAGAGAATTCACCTTCTTCCATACCTTCACCTACATACCAATGAACAAAAGCACGCTTGGCATACATCAAATCGAATTTATGGTCCAATCTTGCCCATGCTTCAGCAATAGCAGTGGTGTTAGACAACATACACACAGCACGTTGTACCTTAGCCAAATCACCACCTGGAACTACAGTTGGAGGTTGATAATTGATACCAACTTTAAAACCAGTTGGACACCAATCAACAAACTGAATTGTTCTCTTTGTCTTGATGGAAGCAATAGCAGCATTAACATCCTTAGGTACAACATCACCACGATACAACATACAACAAGCCATGTACTTGCCATGACGTGGATCACACTTCACCATTTGATTAGCTGGTTCAAAGCAAGCATTTGTAATTTCTGATACAGATAATTGTTCATGGTATGCTTTTTCAGCAGAGATAACTGGTGCATAAGTTACCAATGGGAAATGAATACGAGGGTATGGGACCAAGTTGGTTTGGAATTCAGTTAAATCTACATTTAGAGCGCCATCAAATCGAAGAGAGGCAGTAATAGATGATACAATTTGACCAATAAGACGATTCAAGTTGGTGTAAGTAGGACGTTCAATATCAAGATTTCGGCGACAAATATCATATATGGCTTCATTATCTACCATAAAGGCACAGTCACTGTGTTCAAGAGTAGTATGTGTGGTTAAAATGGAATTGTATGGTTCAACAACAGCTGTGGAAACTTGAGGAGCAGGGTAGATGGCAAATTCCAATTTGCTTTTTTTACCATAATCTACACTCAATCTTTCCATCAACAAAGAAGTGAATCCAGATCCAGTACCACCGCCAAAAGAATGGAAAATTAAGAATCCTTGAAGTCCAGTACATTGATCAGCTAACTTCCTGATTCTATCCAAAACAACATCAACAATTTCTTTTCCAATTGTGTAATGTCCACGAGCATAGTTGTTAGCTGCATCTTCCTTTCCAGTAATTAGTTGTTCGGGGTGAAACAATTGACGGTATGTACCAGTTCTTACTTCATCTAAAAATTAAAATTTATAATGAAAAATTTATTTTTAGTGACTTGCTAAATTTTTTTAATTTGTTTATAAATTTATTTCTTCACTAACCAACTACAGTAGGTTCAAGATCCACAAATACAGCTCTAGGAACATGTTTGCCAGATCCAGTTTCGCTAAAGAAGGTATTGAAGCTATCATCTCCACCTCCAATGGTCTTGTCAGAAGGCATTTGACCATCAGGAGCAATACCATGTTCTAAGCAGTATAATTCCCAGCAGGCATTACCAATTTGGACTCCAGCTTGGCCAACATGTACAGAAATACACTCACGCTAAAATAATAAAAATAAAACAAAAAATCAATGGCAGAAATATCAACATAACACAGTTGTTACACTTTTATTTATATTTTAAACTTTCTTATGCAAGTAACAACTTAATGCTTTTGTAAAACCTGTACAGCTCAGTGAAACATAATAGAACCATGATATTTATGCACAATATCTTACAGACCAAATTACATGTCATTTTAAATTCCCTATGTTTAAGAAGTGTAAAAACCAAAATAATTTTCAATAATAAAAATTATATAAGGAATATATCTTTTTACTATTATCAATCACTCCAATTTGATATTAAAGCTATACATATTGATTGTATAAAAATAATCTAAAAATTTTGTAAGGATAGGAACCAAGAAGCATTTAAAAAGTAGTATAGTTGGGACGACCTTACCTTTCAACTATCCCACCCGTTACCATGATATAAGTTTGTGTAGGATTTGGACACCCAGGACCCTACATAATCAAACCACTAGATTATGTGATAAATTAATTAGCCTACTAATAAAATCTTAATCTATTGTATTTAATGTATTTATTTTATTTTGCAAATGGTATAGATTTCTGAGGACAGCGTGGTCAAGTTGATAATGCAGCAGTTCTTGACACACACTGCCTAGAGTTTTAAACTCAGTCATGGGGGGGGCTTTATTTGCCAAATGAGAAAATAGTTTGGTAATTGGAGCTGCCATCTCCCTCTTCGGTGCTAGACTTAATATCCATCACAGAATAATAATGGTTAAGAAAACCTCTACATTTTTCACATTTCCCTGAACTCTCTATGACAAGATTTCACAAAATAATTATACACAGAATAATCGATTTTGAGTAAACACTAATTTTCTCAGAAAATATTGAAAATTTTTAATTTTTATTAAGAGAAAAATTATTTGACCCAAAATTTACTATAAAACGTAGCTGATTTCATTCTATCCCTTAGGGGTTAAAAAGCCTTTAATTTCAATAATTTATTATTTTTTATTCTAATGGAAATTCTCATTTCTAACTTAAATAACAATTTGTTTTTATTTAATCAATATTTTGCATTTTAAATGTTTTAATAATTAAATATAAAGTAAAAATTCATCATTAATTTAGTTTTCCTAATACCAGAAGCAATAATCTGTTTTTATAGGCCATAGATTTTTTGTTAGTTAACAATAAAAAATGTTCACACTAGTTATTGGCATGTATAATAGTACACTTCCATTGTATATGAGTATGTTTGACTATTAATAGACATGGATTACTAAAGATAAAATTAATGCATGTTGGATATCATAGTCAATAAAAACTATTTTTTGTGACAAATTGAAAAACATCTATTATTTATAATTGGCAAAATTATTTCAAATTACTAAACTTTAACATGTTGTAACAGATAAACAATTTATCAAATAATAAAATTATTAAAATGTGTAATTTTTGGATTATATTAAAAAGTTAAAAATTAGAGGTTCCCATTTCAGCAAATTAAAGTTTTGAGTTTTAAAGTTTTTAACTTGAAAGGAATAAAAAAAACAATATCTAAACTTATATTGTTTTAGAATTTCTTGAATAAAATGAATATTACTCTCTACAAAAATTTTAAATTGTTTCCGAAAAAACAAACGTCTTACCCAAAATCACTCTGTGTTAACATAAAATATATTCTAAATATAGTTTTAGAACAAAAAATTACTATAATAATTAAGTTATATACCAAATAATACAATACTCTTGGTACATTGAGTTATTGATTTACTCAAAGTGATGGTGCTGGGATTGAATGTTATCTTATTTAGAAATTTTAAATGTAAATTAGGTCTAGTACTGAAATCCAAAAATTAATGTTGAGCCCTCACATAAAATATAAAAATTAATGTTAACTGATTAAATCCAGATGAACTGATATTCTATACTATCTTATACTTTATGATAATAAATGTAACATTTATTATTATGTATATAATATAAAGTCAATTTGAACAATGAGAACAAATAAAAACTGATTCGTTTTAATATATCTATTGATCTGGTAGTATCCTAATCTGATATTTTCAAACTACCAAAAGTATTCAGAATTATAACTCCTACTTAATTTACTCATAGGCAGAGGTGTTGTGGAGCGTATACGCGGGTATACGGCGTATACCCACTTCTTTGTTTTTCTGTTATTGCGTATACTTAT